AAAAACTATAAAAAAAGATGACATCACATAAAAGCAAGTCTAGAAAACTGGGTTTTCAGAAGTGATTTTAAAGAAGTCACAGATTCTGTGATGCTTTATCTCCTCAGGCAGGTTGTTCAAGGTCACATTTAGATTTAAGCCTGAACTTTATAAAGGACAGAGGGGCCCCACCTGAAATATGCACAAAGATGTACTACGACTAACAATTATTTAAATGTAAATTAATCTGTCAGTTATTTTCTCAATAAATAACTTTGGCCTATAAAATGTCAGAAATGGTGTTTTACAAAGCCCAAGATGTCTTTAAATGTCTTGTTTTGTCCACAACCCAAAGATATTCAGTTTACTGTCACAGAGGAGTGAAGAAACCAGGGAATATTTCCATTTAACGAGCTGCAATCTTAACTACCTAAATAGTTGACAACTAATCGATTAATTGATGGATCGTTGCAGCCCTACATATAATGTATTATCTTCTAGAGGATCCATAATTTTGATTCGGTGCTGACTAGCTCTCTGTTCCTCCTCCCAGGTCATATTACGGACACTAGACCCCAACAGCGCTAAAGCACTGGATGCTTACAGTCCAGAGGCCCTCGCCCGTCTCACCCTCACTAACCTCCGCATCAGACTGCTAAAACCTCAGAGCTGTCTGGCACCTCCAAATCCCCCTGCAGAATGGACAAGCCACACAGCCTCAGCTCTGACTTCTTTATCCACCGCAGAAAGCCCAGACTCAGCACCTTATGCTATTTATACTTTACTAGCCAGAGGGACGTGCCTGTGCCATGGACATGCTGAGTATTGTGTACCACACAACAGCCAAGACACTAGACAGGACAGCAACATGGTGAGTGGCTTTTCCTGTATGTTGGCCTGTGTTCTATTACAGTCTTGTATAACACACATGTCAGGATGTTAGGTCCAGATGTTAAATGTACTTGCTGATGGAAAAATCGCCAGTTAAAGAGCTTTAAATAGCTCGATTTACTCTTTACACCACCTGCCTGGATGTATTTTATAGCTGACTCCAGACAGCAGGTGTCTAACGTCTGCTCGTGTAGGTGAGGTAACTGAGCAGCTCCATTTGTGTTTTCCAGGTGTCCGGTAGGTGCCTGTGTACTCACCACACAGCGGGGGATCACTGTGAGAAGTGTGCTCTGCTCTACAATGATCGTCCCTGGAGGCCTGCCAACAGCAGCAGCGGGGAGTCCAACCCGTGCCAGAGTAAGTGACCACCAGCAGGACTGCACGACGCTCATCTTACTGACAGAGACAAAGCCAGAGATGAAGGGGAGATTTGCAGTATATAAAATACTTTTTAAGGCTCTATATAACCAAGTTTTAAATACATAATCAAGACCCAAAGCATACAAACAAAAACGTATTAAGCTTTTTAAGACCTATTCAGAGATGTCCTCATACTGCTGGTCACATGTAGTCAGTGCACCTTTGGCTCTAAGTTGTCTGGGTGCTTGGACCCTGGTTCTCCTTACAGGTCTATACTCTTTAAATTTTGTTCTGTATGTCAGCACAGGTTGCAAATCATTTTGACAACAAAAATCTAACACAGACTTTGCCCATTACCCATGATCCCTGTTTGCTTTCTCTCTCCTCTCCATCCTGATGTCCTTACATTGTCTCTCTCTCATCTCTCTGATCGCTGTGACTTCAGAGTGCCAGTGCCACGGTCACGCAGATAGCTGTCACTTCTCTCAGCGGGCATGGCTTTCTTCCAGCGGTACTAGTGGGGGCGTTTGTGATGACTGCAGACACAACACTGTCGGGCGCAGGTGCCAGCGCTGTCGCCACGGCTACCACCGCCACCCATCCCTGCCACTCAACTCCCCCCATGCCTGCACACGTAAGGGACTCAGAGCTGGCGTGAGATTGGCTCATGTGTTTTCAACCCATCAGAAAAGCAAAGTAAAAGGAGGTTTAATGACTGATTTGATCTTAGTGGAATAATTTGAAGTCACGGAGGGTTGTGGGAAAAATGAAACAGAACCATAATACAGCTCCATCTGCTGGAACATGTTTGTAAATTCATAATTTGACACCAAATGTTTCAGCAGTGTACACAACTGTATTTGTGTCTCTGCTTCTCAGGCTGCTGGTGTGATCCACAGGGCTCTTTGCCTCCTCGTGCTGGAGAGGAGGGACACTGGTGCCACCCTAGAAGCGGGCAGTGCCACTGCAAGCCTGGTGTGGGCGGCACAAGCTGCAGTCACTGCCTGCCTGGCTATTGGGGTTTTGGAGAGGAGGGCTGTAAACCCTGTGTCTGTCCTCACAGCTGTGATCCAACCACTGGGCAGTGTCTAAGCAGGTTAGCCATATGCTTCACTCATGACCACATTCTTTACACATTCACACAGAAGCTAAAATTGATTGTTAACAGTGATCTCTCAATTCCACTTTTGCAGCTACTCACATAATCAAGTGTTCAATGTGCCCATTGGTGGAAAAATCCCTGATCTGGATCACATGTTCACAATAGAAGAAGATGTACAGTGGTCGAAGGAGCTCGCAGTCTCTGCTCTGCATTACACAGGTGAGTGTTGTAACAACTTACTGATGTGTTTCTAATTAAAGAGTAACTTCAGTATTTTTCAGCCTGGCCCTGTTTCCCATGTTTTTGTGTCTTAGTGACAAATGGGGACAACAATTCATGTACCATCACTAAAAGTATTTGTTTTTGCCACTGACAGGCTCAAATTGTTATTCTGGTGTCTGACAAGATTATGAAAAGCATCCTTACAAAGACAGACCTTTTGTTTAAAAGTAAGATCCTTTTTGTTTAACCAGAAACCGCCCTGTAATTGCTATCGCCAAACAGACCAGATTCCATTTAAATAAACAGTAATTTTAGCGTGTATAAATCCAGCATATTTTCACATCTAACTGAGTGAATTAAGGGTTTATTTTAACCAAACCAGAGTTGGTGATTGTTGTCACAGTGGAAAGAAGAACAGAGATGGCTTTTGTGGGTTTTACTTTGTTCCCGCAAGCTTTGAATGATGTGTGTTTTACGATGATAAAATTACCATTTATTTAAATGCAGCCTGTTTTGCCACTGCCAGCTGCACCCTTTACACAATACTTGACCAACTTCAAAAATTGTTGTTCCCATTTGTCACTTAAACACAAAACATGGGAAAATATGGTCCAGATTGAAAAATACTCAAGTTACCCTTTAACTGTGATGTTCATCTGCATTGTAAGGCTTAAAAATTGTGGAATGATAGTGTTTCATATTGTGTAATTATGGAGATAAAAGTGGATCAGAGCATAACTTAATGTCTGCACACAGGAAAGTGTAGCTGTAAGGAGAGAAAGCTGAGAAGTGCATCTGACCTCTGTAAGACCAAACATGATTATGGTAAGAAAAAATATATATAACCATTATATGCTAATTGTATGATTGATTAAAATCTACTATATTTGCTTCAAAATGTCTCTTCAGTCTTCTGTTTTTCTCTGCGGTCCATGACAGTGATCAAAGCCAGTGTGCTGTCTGCTCATGACAAAGGCAGTCATGCAGAAGTGCAGGTCAAAGTTCGCAAGGTTCTTCAATCAGGCCAAGTGGCGCTCTCCTTGGGGACCATCAGCATCTATCCTCTGTCCTGGACCAGCCGTGGCTGCACCTGTCCTATCCTTAACCCAGGTAAGATTAAACACAGGAATGTTCAGTTCATGGTTTTGTTTAAGAGACTTTTATCAGGAAAAGATGAGTATTCAAGAGGACCAAAGAGATGATTTGTTTTCAGATTGAATGAAATAATGTCTTACCCTTCTCACCAGGTATGGAGTACCTGCTGGCAGGCCCAGAAGAGGCCAGGACAGGCCGTCTGCTGGTTACCATGCAGAGTGTGGTGGTCCCATGGACACCCCGACTTGGTCTTCTTGTATCAGAGGGCCTGAGGAATGGATGTCCATGAACCATATGATCCAAGAAAAGGCGAGGCAGACTTTAGAGGATTTCACAAGGCAGTTTGAGTCAGTGGACAATTCAGAAAGGGGACTGAGAAATCACCGGACAACATGCCCTGTCACCAGGAAGAAATGATCCACGAGTCAAACTCATGATCAGTCTGGGTCACAATATTGAAGGAAGGTACTCACAATGTGTGAGCGCTCGACACAAAATAAAGACTAAAATAAATAACTGGATGTGTTACGATCTGAGTGAAGAAATCGCTGATTCAATGTTTTATCTCCTCTTTCTGTTGTACAAAAGATTACGGTAGCCATAGCTATATAAAATTATGCTATGGGCAAAACTTTTGAGTTTTAGCTCTCTGAATGTCCGACTGGGTTTCTTAAAGTCCCATTTTGCTTATTGTTACTTCACCGGGATGTTTGAGTTTCACTATGCTGAGTTATATGGAAATTTAAACTTCCAGGGTCCAAACACTGAGAACGGACCTTTTTTTAGTGAAGTGAGAGACATCTTGTGTACAGCAGTTAAAACTTTGAGGCACAAAAATTTGCATATTTGTAGATTTTGGATTTTTCCACGAGGGAAGAGAAGTAGATATAATTTTGAACATATTTAATTTTTGAGGTAACTGAACTGTTTGTGGACACAAAAAGACAACTTATTACACCTAGCAGAGCATTTTTCATGTCATAAAACATGTCTGAAAGGGTTTTTTAAAATAATAAAAATTAAAAAAATAATATAACTTTTCTTATGGCTAGTAAATATAACACATCTTGAAAGCTCAACCTGTATAACTCAGATTCAATGAAATGCTATGAAACTATAATGTTACCAACACAAAGGCAAAGTAATGAGATAAGTGAAGAATGTAAAATATACCAGTGTGGTTCTGACATGATACACACGGTTGCACGTTTATCTTCTCAGCCTGTAAATCTTCTCAGCAATCTCAGTGAGAAAAAGCTCACGTCCACGCCCACGACTTTGAATGTGCAAAAAAGAAAATCACCGAGTGGTGCTGTGTTTGACTTTAAAAGGAACAAAAAGAAAGATGTAATTTAAACTGTTCAATGATTATTTTAATCTGGACACGTTTGAGACAAACCCATCAAGTCTTTCAAGGCCTGAATGTCATTGAATGGTGATCACAGTATCCAAGTGGAGACTCTCTAGACAGTGTAAAGACAATGAAACATTTATGCAGTGACAGTTAAAGGTGACACACCACTTTGGTCTAGGCCAGATACAGTGTCAATTAAACATGATGACCACTGTTCATACAGCACCGGATGTAGATAGAGATGGAGACCATGATGTTTCTACAAGATGTCGACAAACACCTAAAAACATCTCTTGATGTAATGTTTACTGAACAGAAGCTGTAACCATTAGGACTGGGTATCATTTAGAAAATTACTGTACCCATACCAGTACCTTTAAAGTTATACCGATACCACTAGAGCACCTCATTCGACTGTCAAATACACCGCACTCGACTTCACCACACCACAGACTGTATAGGTTGTAGCTGCTGTGGTAGTGGGCCAATCACACATTGCATTAAATTGAAGAACTCTTGCAGTGATTGGCTGTGAGCAACACTACACAAATAGTCATTTTTCCCTGATCTGGGTTAAAAAAATATTGAGTGCAGGTATCATTTGACTGGAGAAGTTTCAATAGTACTTGGTACTGTGTTATTTTGGTCACTAGCTTACAAGTATCTCGTACTGATACCCAGCCCCACAGTAACCTTGGTTTCTTACCAATTACCTTTGTTTGGTCTCTCAAGTGATGAAAGCAAAAGGGATGAAACTGTTAAATTGCTCAAATCAATAAATCTACTGATTACTGCTTAGATTTCTGTCACATTGATTAGTAATAAATCAGTGCTAAGTGGTATTCCTGACCAGCCGACATTAACAGAGACAACACACATAATGAAGCTCTTCTGATTGAGAACACGCAAATTAAATTTCTATTGCATATACAGTGAGTCTTTCAGCCAATGTCCCTGCAGCGAGTGGCTCGGCCTGCTGTCATCAAATCATATTATTCAATGATTTTCTGAGTGCTCAGCAAACAAAGCAGCCTATACGTCTGTACATACGCTACGTTTCTCAGCATTCACAAAGTCCTTCTCTGATGTAAATATCGCCCGTGAGTGTCAGAGCTGTGTCAGTGAGCTCCTCTCTGCAGGCTTAGACAGGAGGAGAGACCGAACACAGCTCCTCATGGAGAGTCAGTTATGCTGGGCAGTGCTTGCACACAGAGAAGCCTGAATGACAACTGATGGACCTTAGCTGGCAGTCTGGTTGTCTGTCGGCGCCGTGCTGTCAGATGAGGCAGCAGACTCGGATGTTGAAGTGGCAGGGGTAGAGTCAGTTTCAGGAGGTGAGGCAGAGCCCTCAGGCGGGGCGGTGGAGACAGATCCAGAGCCGGACTCTACTTGGGAGGAGCTTTCTTTATCCTCCTCCTGAGGATAGAGCTCAGGGTACCTCTGCATGCACTCCTGCATGCCGCGGAACTGGTCGATGCACTCGGAGCCCTTCACCTCTTCCTTACTGTAGTGGAAGCAGGAAAAGGCATCCTTGAACTGAGAACCGCACGGTCCGCTGGCCATGCCGCCCAGACACGGGCAGTTCCAGTTGATGTCACCATTTGGGAGGATCAGACCTAAAGAAACAGAGAAGCAGCAAAACCAAGTTAGTAGAAAACCTTTATGAGGTAAAACATGTTTGGAGGTCAGGTCCACTAGAGTGACTCACCCTGCTCCTCATAAGGATCATTGGGGTCATCTGCAATGAGCTCAGCATTGCTGGGTGCCTCATGGTCCTCCTTGGTCACAAAGATGATGCGATCTTTACCTATAAGACAAAAACACAAACAACATCACAGGTTAACATAAAGAAAAGACCTGGAGGAGTAAAGCTGTACTGTGTGGTTGATGGCGACTCTTAAAGGACCAGTATGCCACCATCTTTGACTTGAGTTAACCTGCTCTGCCGTTTGGTAGCCCAGACAGTAACGTCACACCACCAGGATCAGACATGACGTTTCACTCAGTTTGTAACTTACGTATGAACTGACGACAGCGACCTGTGCATCGCGTCATTACAAAGCCAGCCCCTATTATAAACCTCACTGTACTGTTGCCGGAGCCTTACTCGCAGCTAGCCACGAAGCTAACCTGCTGTGATCTGCGGTAAGTCGACGCTGTGTCTGGAAAGTTAGCCTAGCATGGTGGCTCGCTCGGTGACATTGCCCCGCCGCTGAGTGTAAATGAATGAAAGGAGAGTGTAGTTACCCTCCTGCCTGCAGTACGACATGTCTGCCGCTGTTCGAGTCCGTCGAGTCTCGCCGTCTGTGCTAAGAGATGACCGGTGTGACAGGAATTACTTAACAACTGCAGGGATCTCATTTGACAAGCCACCCGGCGTCCGACAGCCTCTGACCTGGGTCACATGTCGGCGCACGATAATGACGTCACCCGGTCTTTTTGAAAAGATACATAAATTAATAAATAAATATAACCCACAAAAATGATATAAAAATATTTAAAATTATTAATATGAATAATATATAAATATAATAACAAACACAGAAACAAATAAAAAGTCAAGCTTTTACAAAATTACGCATTTTCCTCCCAATCCTCTTCCCCCCTTTTTTGTATGCTTGTAAGCCCTGCTAATTCTTTTTCTTTCTTTCTTTTTTTAAATTTCTTTATAGATATAATAATAAAAAAATCAAGTTGTTGGAAAATTATGCAATTTTTTGGGCTGTTTGTTTATTTACTTTGATGTCATTGTCTTGAAATAGGCCTATTGTTATTCATACTCTTCACATACACTTGTCATCTCTACGTGGACTTTTCTACATGTTTTGTCATTAATGATTTTTTTTGTACATGCTCATTTTGTCTATAAAAACAAAAGGGTATACCTTAAAAATGTTGCATCAAATCTATCCAGCAAAACAGAAGACACTGGAGAGATTTAGGATTGATGTTGAATATTCTTGTAGCCCACTTTATGTCATTTGTTTTATTCCCGTATGTGTACCAGAATATTTTGGGTGGATGTTCAACATTATTTAAGATGGAAAAGTGGACAGACAATTCAACTGTAGGATAGAGATATTTTGCTGTAATTTAAAGGTAATGAGGTGGGAAAATGTAATTCTATTATTGATATATAAAATTCCACATTCACAAGAAGAGGCTACAACTGGATTTTGGACTTTTATATCAGGAACTACAGCACTATGGATCACAAAAAGTGGCCTCAACGGACAGTTTTGTGTGTACATGTTAATGCAACGTTGTTTCTTAAATAGAGAAATCAGTAAATAAATATTAAAATAAATAAGCATAAGAAATTGACTACAAGACATTTATAGATATTCTTAGATTATTTTTTATAAAAGTAAAATCAAAATAGGTAGTGAATCATTTTAAATAATCTGAATTTGCAAATAAATGTAACAATAATCTGCCATTTTTATTTTGACTTATCAAGTTTCCTTCTGTTTTCAGCTCTGTTGCAGTCACATCACCTTGTGAGTCATGATAAACCCCTTGAAATGATCTCTGTACCACTCTCGACCAAAGCAATCAGAGGACAGTTTTTTGTTTTTGTCTGCTCCATCCCTGAGGAGGTGATTAATTTCTGCCTCACTGGTGCGCATGACAAACTACAGATAATAACCAAGCTCACATGTCCTACAGTCTCAGAGCTACAAGGCCCCAGTTTTTCACATATAGAGCTAGCAGATGGAAAAGTTAACTTGGGGACAAAATGGTTAACGACAAAGCAAGTTGAGGAAAAAAAATCATTAAAAAAACTATTCTTACTGATCACCCTAGTAAATATCCGTCAGTGCACTGCCTCTTAACTTATGTTTGGTGACATTCAATCTGCAGATTATAGGATATATAGAAATATTTAATAGTCACAGGTGACTGGACTGATTGGTCATTAAGTGATTTCTATTCTATCCTTGTTTCACTGTCATAATAAAGCTCTATTACGCAACTAATGTAATCAGAAAAGACTGCTGATAGTGATGTGCTGGCACATACAGTTACAACAGCAAAATCTCCCCTTATATTTATATTTTACTCTTTACTATGGGATGTAAGCTCATTTTAAACCTCACACAGTGACCTTTAGTGGAAGGTAAGTCATTAAAAACACACAAACTGAATTAAACTACAATCAAGTTATAGATCAAAGCTTGATGGACATAAACTTGTCTCAACTCTAGGGGCTATTATCAGACTGACAGCATTAGGAAGTTCATAACTATGTCAAAGCTTGTAGCTGGAAGTCCGTCTTATTGCCCTTTAGCAGAGGGAGGTGGACAAAAACATATTTTCAGCCCTGTCCTTTTGTGCCAAATCCAGCTTTAACTTTTTAATAATGTGCCCTAAGACCACTGCTATGCCATGATGTTATTCTTCATAATTTGACCCACAAATAGTATTCTGTAGTGATCACAGAACATGCAAGGACACAAGTAGACAATAGGAATCAAAACACAATCTCAAGTTTGTTGGAAAAAAAAATCCTGTTTTTTTTTTAATAACACAATTATGTCTGTTACATAAAGTAAAAACCAAAATGAAACCCCCTTTCGTCCCTATCAAACCCACCCTCATCCCGACCATCTCGGCAGTATTTTGTGCAGCGATTCAGTCTGGGAATAAAAGAGCATGATGACACACAGACAAACACTTTCCTTTGAGGACCCAGAGACAGAGGACAAACACTGTGCCCTACATAAGACCAGAGTGAATATAAACATAGTCCATCATTTAAAATATCAAAATAAGGTAAATAAAAACCACCAACAGCTTCTCTGAGATTACCAGAAACCTTATCAGGAGTACAAGCATTTTTTATTCATACTTTTTACATCCTTACCATAGGGCCCCAGAAACCTCAAGCGTGATTGCTACCTGTGATGAACATGACATGGCTTTCTTTCAGCTCCCCCAAAATGTCCAGGCAGTGCTTCCAGCTCAAAATAAGCACTAACACACTGTCGCTGTCTTAGTGTTCCTTGAACATGCTGCAATGAACAATGCCTGAGGTAAGTCAGAGACAGCACCCCACACGTGTGTGCTTTTAGGCATTCTTCAGCTGATGAGACAGTCAGTGGGGACTTAGGCAGCCTGCAGAGAGATGGGTAAAAGCTACTGGAGGTAAAGGACTGATGACACACAATACTATGCTCAGCGCTGGGAGTAACCGAAACGGTTTTCTCAGCATTGTCATGCTAGAGAGGTAATGGTGGAAAACACAGGCGGTGGAGAAAATTACCTATCCCAGCTGCAAAATGTAGTGATTGTGCAAATTGCAAAAAAAATGCAAAATAAAAAACATGATGGGGGGATGAATGCTTTGTGTCTGATGTGTGTCAGAAGGTTGGTATTTTCTAGAAGAGCAGCGCTCCCATGCTGCCGACTTCACTCTGCTCCTTTACAAAGATTTCAAAGTACTGGTAGATGATGGTCACAGCCAAGAGGATTCCTGTACCGGAACCGATGGCACCCAGGAAGTCAGCCATGACGGACAGCCCTCCTATGCAGAGGCCACCGAAGGCAGCAGCTGTGGGGATGTACCTGTGAATCGTAAATCCATTATTAATACATAAATATTCTGAAGAACAACTTTCCATATGCTGCAAATAACAAACATGAATCCTGTTTGCAAGTTTACTTTGTACCTGTTAAGCTCATGCACCATAGAGGTCTCCCTATGTCCCCTCATTACCATCTGTTGCTCCTTCAGCTGCTTCGCCACCTGACACACACAAAGTGATATGCGTGGGTTAATTTCACGTGGGACTGACACAAAGCAAGTGGCAAATGCTTGCATAAACACAAACTTACATCTTTGGCAGAGGATCCTGAAACCTCAATCCAGGTCTTGGAGAAGAAGGCGCAGGAGCCAAGCATGAAGACAATGTAGATAACAGCATGAACCGGGTCGTCCAGGACAGAACCAAACGACTCTGGAGGTGACAGGTAGTAGCAGAGACCGCCCACTGGGTAGGCCCGAGCTGGTCCACCAGTCGAGGTGTCCTAAAAAGAAAAAGATTTTGTAAGTCAGATGCTGCATTTCTTTGACTAAGGCCCCATCTACATGTGCACAGATATGTTTGAAAACAGATATTTTCCCCCATGTTTTGGCCTCTTGTCCACACAAACGGAGTTTTAGGCCCTTAAAACCAAGAATTTTAAAATGCTTTCTAAGGTGTAGTTTTAAAAACTCCAGTTGCTTTCAAGGGCAGCTCATTCAGTGGCAAAAACAGTGGAGGAAAGAAGAGCAAAGGGGCAGACGTTACTTCTCTCTGCAGCCCTCTGTTAAACAGGAGTGATAGATAATTAATTCTGGAAGAAGGGATGATGTTCTAACTTGGTTGAGACCAGGTCACTGTGGTTTAGACAGCTATTTGAAAGTCGTAGGCAAGCATCCAAATGGTCTGTGTCAGTGTGGAGAGCTAGAAACAGTCAAACACCTAATGTTCTCTTGTAACAAATACAGAAGTGAAAGGCAACAGTTATTTGGGGAACTGTCAGATCTGGGTCCTTTGGCTTTGTCTTTCAAATCTATTTCTGTTTACAAAGCGGTGTTTGAACTTATTGGAGAGAACAGTGGTGCAGTGGTTAGCACTAGCGCATCGCAGCAAGAGTGTGTGCAGAGTCCATATGTTCTCCCTGTGTCAGCGTGGGTTTTCTCAAGGTTCTCCGGCTTCCTCCCACAGTCCAAAGAGGATAGGTTAACTGAGGACTTTAAATTGCCTGTAGGTGTGAATGTAAGCATGAATGGTTATCTGTCTCTGTGTGTCAGCCCAATGATAGTCTGGCGACCTGTCCAGTGTGTACCCTGACTCTCACCCAATGACATCTGTGATAGGCTTCAGCAGGATAAGTTGTTACAGATAATGAATGAGTAGCTTTGTATCCATATGGACATTTAAAACAGAGCATTTAGGAAATGATGACATCATCTCCTCAATCCATGCACATCAACTGTTGCTTCGTGTAATTAGCATGCACCAGAAACAATAACAACAACAATAGCAGACTCTGGTTTGTTAACGTTTTGTCAGCAATGCTTGGTCTAATGACTTCTTCACTGCTGCACCATTTCAAGGATGAACAAAGCCACCTGCGGCACCAACGTTATTTGGTCCACCTCAGCATCCGTGGTTTAAAGTCTGTCAGAAAAGACGTCTTTGGATCAGACCTGGTTGACCCAGCAGATGCTGGGACAATTTCAAGAGAGATATTGAGGGTTCCCACACATTTTTGTGGACTAAATTTCATAACTTTTTCATGACTTTTCAAGGACCCATAATATATTGTTTTTTTCTTGCCCAACTTGCCCAAAGTTTTTTGAACATATCACACTCAAACTCTATTCAAATATAATTCACCTAGCTCACATAGATGATGAGAGTAATGGGGAGAAAATGAAAAAACATACATGATAGTAAACAAAACATTGGCGATATTGACGCATATTAGAGCTATGTTATGTCAGTTACATAAGAAAAATTCCATGACTTTTCCAGGTCTTTCATGACCATGGAAACCCTGGATATTGTTGTCAATGAGGAGTGGAAAGAAAACTTTCACATGTCCAGGGCATCACTTGTATCTTTGAGTGAGATTCCTCATCCTTAAATTGAAGGGGAATAAACAGTGTCAACATCTTCACTAGGTGTTTTAAAAAGGTTACATAAGCCTGTATACTTAACAATCAGTGCGACAAGTAGAGACTGTGGAAGACAGCTATCATTGGCAAGTGTTTGAAGTCATTTTTGTGTTCAAAAATATCTGTATATGTGTAGGCAGGGCCTAATACACAAGAGATGGCACCTGACTGTACCCTCTTCAGGCAAATCAAGATTCCTTGATACAGTGTTCTGATCTCTAAACATGTTCCAAGGACTGAGACTTGATGTGCTGGAGGCCAAGCATCCATCATATATACTTACAGACCAGGTTCCCAGGAGGTTGACGAGGAAGTTTCCACTGAAACGCGTTGAGAGCATCTGAGATATTACGTAGAGATTGGAGACCAGGGCAGACTGCAGGATGATGGGGATGTTGGACGTGTAGAACAGTTTGATGGGGTAGGTGTTGTACTGACCACGGTAGCGTGCTGACTTGATGGGCAGGTCCACCCTGAAGCCCTGGTGATGTAACAAAGTGTGGCAATCAGTAAGCAGATATTTGTTTCAAAACATGTCGTCCTTCAGTGCAATAAAAGCATGTAAGACACTAGAATGTCTTAAGTTGCTGTTGCAAGCTCACCTGGAAATATATTACCACTGCAAACACGAAGACGGTGGCGATGAGGTTCATGAGGTTAGGCAGGTTTTGTCTGTAGAAGGCCTCTCTCAGGGCACGCACCTTGTCTGTGCGGGTGGCCAGGAGATGAAAGAGAGCAATGATGGCTCCCTCAAACTCAGTACCTGGGTAAACAACGGGAGTCACAGGGTTAGCCATTACAATACACATAAAGATTTATCTCCTTTTTCATCACTCAGCTTTAAAAATGTGTACGTCCCCAGTGCCCATACCTCTGCCCGTGTTGACAGTGGTGGGGCTGAATGCCTTCCACACGATCGTCTCACAGATGTTAGTTGCAATGAAGAGAGAGATACCCGAGCCCAGACCATAGCCCTTCTGGAGCAGCTCATCCAGCAGCAAGACAATAAGACCTGCAACGAAGAGCTGAAGAAATGGACAGGAGGTTTGTAAAGATCTGATTCAAGCAGACCAAAAGCTGTTTGAAATAGCTGTGTACAACAAACACTAATGACAGTCCAAATGAACCTGTCAGCATTTGAATTTTCTGATTTTTGCCTATCTCACGAAGGGAGATGATTAGAATCTCATCTTTATTGTCTGCTTGCCACAAGAAAATAATGTCTAACATGGTTTATATTCATTCTCTAAGTGCTTCACACATTTAAACTAGGTTGACTGACTACTATAAAGAATGTGAGTTAAATATTTTGGCTGACAAATGTTATTTTGGCAGGAGATTAATGTTTTTTCTATTGTTAATAAAATCCTGAACGAAAGAAAGAAGAAACTATTTCAGACAGAGAGCCTACACCTTGGAAATATACTGTCTCTGCTTCTACATCCACACATTTCCACATATCATGCTGGACAGCAGCACAGAGAGTTGTTATTAACCTGGATGATGATGAGCAAGCATATCCCAGCACCCATCTCTGACGGGTCTCCATACATGCCAGTCATAACATATACAATGGCCTGTCCAATGGTGATGATCATTCCAAACACTGCAGAGAGACAGAGAAAAATGATTTGCAATTGGCAGGCTTGCAGGGACAGCTACTACTGATGTTACTGAACAGTGTATTGTGTCTGCTATCTTCAAAGCAAATAAACAACCTTCATGTTTTCAAATGGTACTTGACAAGCTCTAAAGATAGCAAATGCAGCAAGTAGTAGACCTACATTTCTGAGCTCCGTTGAAGAGGGCTCTGTCCTTGGGAGTGTCTCCCACCTCAATGATCTTGGCACCAGCCAGCAGCTGCATAATAAGGCCTGAGGTGACAATGGGTGAGATACCCAGCTCCATCAGAGTACCTGGAGGTGAACAGCATTAGTGTCACTTTAAGTCTCAGTTAGTACAACAAAAGCAGCAGCATCAGAAACAAAGCACACGGGCCTACATGTGTTGACCTTTGACTCATCACATCTGATAACAAGATTATGTCAGGTCTGATAACAACACTGAAATTAGATTATTTCTACTTGTTGGAGCTGCACAAGACACAAAGAACCATATGATTAACCCTGTTTAACAAATACAACTCAAGCACCTCTGTTGGAAGCCAAGATTACTCTCATCCAGTAGAAGGGATCTGCTGAATCTGAAGACATGATGCCAAAGAGAGGAATCTGAATCAAGAAAAAAAGATATAAAACACTGTCACAAACCACTATCACCACTAAATAAACAGCAGGTTGGTTGACATCAACAGATACTAACCTGGCA